TGTGTGTGTGTGTGTGTGTGTGTGTGTGTGTGTGTGTGTTTATGTGTGTGTGTGTGTGTATGTATACACACACACACACACACACACACACACACAAACATATATATATATATACAAGTATATTCAGAAATTTGCAGCATTATTTTCAGCTTTTAAAAAACTGTTATAATGGTTGCATTTCTAAAGCCATAATTATATCCCACAATGCATTTAATTAACAAACTAAAAAGTGGTAGCCTGCAATTGTTAAAGAGCAATTTTTACCTGATTTAACCCATACAAATTAGTTTTATTGGCATGAATTACTGTATTTAGGTTGATTCAGTGATGCTACTGTAAATAATATTTTTGATTTAAATAATATCAGTTAGATGTTACCTTTTTTAATGTACTTAAACATTATTCATATTTTATCTTTAAAGCGACTTACAAATGAGGACAATGGAATCTTTATTTATTACTTTATCAAACTGAAGAAAAAAAAACATAGAATGACCTTATTTGTCAGTATAGAGAATGCAGTTTGTGTGTGTGTGTGTGTGTGTGTGTGTGTTATTTTTCAGATTAGACATTTATTACTCAGCTATATTTCATTTTGAATAATGGAGCTTGCTGTATTATTATTTTCCTCAAAAGTGATTGATCAAAGCCAGACCTGTAAAAGAGATTTTCTTCATTAGCTTTTAACATGGACTCATATGGTGAGCAGAAAGGGTGATTACAGCCTCAGTAAAAACAGATTGTCATTTCAGTTTTTCATTTAATTATGGAAATGTTGCTCTTCCTGTAGTGGCAGGATGTGGCTGCATGCGGAGACAGTTGCGCCTGAGAGGACACTAATTCATTTAAGACATGACTTGGTGCCTGCGTACGAAACCGGGACAGCTGAGTTTCCTTCTCGGTGCTCCATCATACATATATCTCTCCACATAAGAGCACAATCTGCTGTTCCTGAGCCCGGCTTTACCCACAGAAGCTCTCGCAAGTCCTCGGCTGTCAAGAAAATTCACTTTATCATTCAGCCATATAAATCATTGCAGGCTCCACAGGAAATCAAAAAAGTTTGACTTTCCAGTCATAAACCATAAAATCTGTCATTAATATAATAACATG